CAAATTAAGTCTTTTCGCAGATGACCTGACTGGGTTTTTAAAGGATGACCTCTCTCTAACAAACTTTCTTAAACTTATAGAAGATTATGGAACTTGCTCTGGCCTAAAGGTTAACCACGAAAAGACAGAGCTTTTGCTACTAGGTAACCAAGCCTGTACCGTACAAGAAGCCGCTCTGAACAGCATAAAAATTAAACGATCAGCTAAAATCTTAGGAGTACATTTTACCTATGACATTCAAGCAAAACAAAAGCTAAACATCAATGAATTAATCAGCTCCATCCAACTTAAGCTACGAATCTGGAGGTGGAGGGATTTGACTATCATAGGGAGAATTCAAATTGTCAAAACCTTTATTATCCCTATCTTCTTATATCGCACGAGCTTGATATCATTGGATAAAGAATTTGTGAAAGAAGCGAACAAAATTATCTTTGATTTTATATGGAAAGGAAAGGATAAAGTTAAACGCTCTGCACTTATCAGTGATATCGAAGATGGAGGACTTAAAGCCCCACATTTAAACTCCATAATTGAAACACAAAGAATACTTTGCTGCAAGAAATTGGCAAATGATCAACCGAGTGGATGGAAAATAATCCTTTTGCATTATCTGAAACCTGTTGGTGGTAAATTAGTCTTATGTTGCGACTTTGATTTGAAGAAATTGACTATCAAATTACCATCCTTTTATGAAGAATGCTTAAAATCTTTTGCAAAGTGCTCTGCGGTAAATAATTTAAATATACAGGATTTAAATGGAAAAGACTTGTCAAAAGTTATCTTATGGAACAACAAATCTATTTGTGTTGGTGACAAGTCTGTGTATTTTCGAAATCTCGCTGAGAAAGGGATCTTTCGAGTGGGTGATTTAATCTCGAATAAACATGAACTTATAATCAAAAGCGAGTTGAGAGTCTTGAACCTTTCGCCGCTAGATGCCTTTAGGCTTGTCTCTTTAATAGACGCTCTACCAACTCAATGGCGTGAATCGTTGAAATCCTGCATCTATACAGGTGACACACCATTCAATTTGCGTGATGAGATTAAGTTACGCTTAAATGGTCAAATTGTTTTACTTGAAAAAGCGTATTCGAAAATTGTTTATAAAGAACTTCGAGACAGAATCGTCACTCCACCAACTGCTAAACTAAAGTTTGATGCTAATTTTGTTAATAACACTTTGAACTGGAAAAAAACCTATAGCTTGCCATATCGTGTTGCCTTAGATACAAAGACTCGCGAATTTCAGTATAAATTATTAAACAGATGCCTTGTGACAAATACCTTCTTATGCAAAATTGGTATTATACCATCTCCAGCGTGCTCCTTGTGTGGTGAATCGGACGAATCCCTCGAACATCTTTTCCTGTCTTGTCATTATACTAAGAATTTCTGGTCTGAGGTTATAAAATGGCTTGTTGATCATAAGGTCAAGATTGAAAATCTTTCAGACAAAGATATACTGTTTGGTATTATTGGATGTGAGGATGAGATATTTGTGAATCATATTTTATTACTGGCAAAACAATATCTATACTCTTGTAGACAGAACAAATATCCTCCCTCCATCAGAGTTCTTCATTCCAAAATTAATACTGTCTTCTTAATAGAGACAATGATCGCTAAGTCAAAAAATAAGTTGGAGACCCACAATATGAAATGGGGCAAATATAAAACTGATTAGCATACGATCTCTTCTCCGCTTACTTCATTTATTATTAATCTTTATTTTTTATTTATTTTATTTTACTTTTTTTCATGTAAATAGAAAAGAAGGTACCTGGTTTTTGTTTCGTTTGTTTTCTTTTTTGTAAGTATGTAATTGTGTGTTAGTCTGCGTTGTATAATGTTTAGTTTTCCTTTCCGTTTTTTTGTATTTTTCCTTACGTGTTCCGTGTTCATAAGTTAGAATGTAAAAAAATGTAAAACGTAACAAAACAAAAATTCATTAAAATACAAAAAAAAAAAAAATAATAATAATATAGGAGAAAGGATTGATCAAAACAGGGTCAACTCCAGTCTCATTTCCACTTGTACCTCCCAAGGCAGAAAGCTTGACAAACAAAAGGGCAAAATTTTGTTCACAATCGAGGCTGGAAGTGTAATTTGCTCGTCTGACTATCTGAACTTTCCGGAAATAACAACTTACTGAAGTCCTCACAGTGCATGCACGAAGCAAAATTCTGCCATATCGTATGTGACAAAAAATGATTCAGCAATTTTTATTCCTAAAATGACAAACATAACTTTAAGTAGCGACAATAAAGTTAATTTACTGAAACCATTTTGCCGCTGGGTTTGGCGTTTTTTTTATTCAGGTCATTGAAATGCATGGACCGTACATTCTCTAGTGACTCTCTTATATATCTGCGTAGCAGAAACATGTTTGACATGTTTATTCAAGGCACAAGGCCCAAGAGGATCACAGTAACAAGGCAAAACAGGTCGAAACCTGAGCTCTGAGGCGCCAGTCACGTGACCCCCTGGTGGGTTCTTAATTGTCGAAGAACTCTAAAGTCCCCGAGTATTTCCCGAAAGGGATGGGTTCCAGTGAAGGTTTTTTTTTTCAGATTCCTCACCGCACTACCCAACTACTGACCCCTGAAACGTGCATCACCGTATACGCTGTTTTAAAAGTTTGAAAAGCACACGATACCTTGTCAGTATAGAAATAATCTCTCTTACACTACTTGTGAAGAAAATGAACGGAAGATATACAGAGAGCAACGAAGGTAAGATATAAAACTATATTTTCAAAATTCAATGAAGTTACAGCTAAAATATATTTAACAATAGATGCAAGATAAAGAGGCTCACCTTTCTTTTTTAGAATAGGAATTAACGATTAAAATAAAATTACTTTTGCGGCGGTCGCTTGCCTACCTATTACATAGTCTCTCGGCTGCGAGGAAGACTACCTCTTTCACGGAACATTACTTAAAAAATAAAGTGGAACGACTGAAACTCAAAATAGAAAAAGTCCTCGGTATAACGAACGATTTTCTTTTAGCCCGGCCAAAATAACAATAAAATGTGTGGAACAGAACCGCGATATAACGAACCTCCATTTAACGGAATCCTTGTTATAACGAACACGAAAGGAATTCTTGGTGGGGGTGTGCCGCCCGGTTCTCCTGACCCTATTTCAGACCACAAAATGTTACTTTTTACTCCCGTTTTCATACCAGTCCTCTGAAATCCATTCCCCGTTTACAGACCTGGCTTTTAGGCACAAATTATGTCATCATTACTTAGATTAGAGCGCAAACAAAAAAAATCCATTTAGTCGCATATTTCTCTTTCTTTCTTACTCATTTGGAACTGAAACGATAAATACGCACATACGCTCCCGTAGTTTCCTCGAAAACCATACCCGATTTCAGACCAAAAGGCCCTAAAACCCTACCTACCCTTTGGGACGGCACATGCCTATATGGCTTATATAAGGGAGTACCCTCTCCCCGGGAAGGAACATTTTCAGGGCTTGTTTTCTAAAAATTCGTTAAATTGAGGTTTTCGATATAACGAACAAATTTCTTTGGTGTCTTTGCAGTTCGTTAAATCGAGGTTCCACTTTACAAAGTTTTCATTCCCAGTGAGCAGTTCACAAGAAAAGTAAAGGTTTGCACGTGACGAGAAGGGACTATTGGCGGCTACTTTTCTCTTCTTTAGTCCTTCACGTTTCAATTAGTCGTGAGGTTTTGGAACAACAGACTATGATTTACTGCAAGTTTGTACAAGAGCCGAATGTATGTGGGTTACAGATAAGCAATTTAACCAAGGAGTGTAACTTTGACGTTGCAAATTTTAAAAGTATAACAAGATCATACAATACCAAAATGCACAACAATTCAACAATCAGCTATGTTAGGTTTATAATAACACAATTTTTAAGGACCAAACCCAAGTTTATTTATTTTTCTGGTAATCAACAATCTATTCTCTTCTTTACAAAAATTAAGAACCTACTTAACCTAAATTGCTAATAAGTACACCACACTTCAAAAAAGTGGGTTGCTATTCGCGGGTGTTTACTGAACTTCGAAGTTCCGGGGGGAAAACGTCAGAAATAATGAGGTTTGACCCCGGAGGGGGGTTACTTCCATATATGGGCTATATAGGTACGTGCCCCTCTGTAAGGGTTTGGTTTTCAAGCAGTTTACTCTGTATATAAATATAGGGTAGCAAAATTCAGCGGAACTAGCTCTGGTATAGGCTAAGGGTTCCAGGGTCCCAGCGGCACATCCCCACCCAAAAATTCCTTAAAAGGCCCCCCGCTCCCTCCGAGGGTTTGACCCAGGTGTTCTTAATGTACACCTATATCAGGTCCCAAGCGAAAACAGTTAGTTCTGCCTTTTTCCGACAGTCGTAATGTTTCAGCGGTCAATAAATCCCCACAGTTTTTATTACGCAGGCTCGAAGATCTCTAAAGAGAAGAAATAGACTATGAGAGGGTCAGTGAACAGGCTAATAAAACTACCACACTAGCAATTCAACAAGGTCAGCTCTTTTAACATAGCCCACGTATGGGTTAAACACATTACAAATGTTCACATTTAAAACTATCACGCCCCTCCCCATCCCCCCCGCGTGACAATGGGGAGCTCAGGCAACAACGACGGCGACGGCGACGGCCAAAAAGCAAAAGGTTTAGATTAGCAAAGCGACAACTTTCCACGGGTATCACGCTTTTTTTGGACATTTCTTTCCTGTCGTTGCACGACTACAACGTGAAAGGGTCTAATTTCACGTTTTGTTGAGGACGGGAACACAAGACAACTTTCTTTTTCTTTTCCTGAACTTTCGTGATACAGTCCTTTAAAATTCAACTCCACAAACGTTGTCAACATTTGACAAATTTAAACGAGATAGAAGAAGAAGCGCGATTAAGTTTGAAGCAACGCGAATTCACTTTTTTAAGGGACGTTTTCATGACCGTCGTCGTCGTTGCTGTTCCTTAATAAGTCAAATAACTCAGACAGAAGCTTACCATACCTCGGCCTCCCGTACCAATTCTGCGGCAAAGAAAAAGGGTTCATATTTGTTTTAATTTCAAGCTCAATATTTGACTTCCCTTTGATCGCCTCTTGAACATAGTTCAGATGTTCTTCTGAACAATCCTCTCGCCCGAAATGAAGAACAAGAGGATGTTGCTGGTTAAGCAAGTATGGTACCATTAACCTTACCGCTTGTCCCAGTGGGTTTCCAATCAGGGACAGAGATCTAAGATTAGGGATGAATTTCAAATTCTCGAGCAAACCACACAAGTCAGCTTCACCCATATCTAATGCTTCAAGTTGTAACGAATACAAGTTGGGAAAAAAGCACAGGTTTCTGGTGAGTTGAGCAAGTGTTCCTCTCGCGCTGAAATTACAGATCTGCAGTCGATTTAATTGCGGAGAAGGTCTCTTAAATCTGCCAAACATCGCCTCCATTTCCTTATGCTGCAAACTACACCCATCTGAACCTTCAACTCTTAGTGCTTGTAAGGCCGATAATTCAGGCGAGGACTGACCGAGCGCCTCGGCTGCTGCAGATGTCAGCCTGATTTTACCAAGTTTCAGTTTCTCAAGGGTTTTGTGTTTGATAGCGGCAACCAATCGTGTCACTGAATCGTCAGAACATTCAGCCAGATCACCTATCTTCAATATTCGTAATGCTAATAATTCAGGCAGCGACTTACTGAGCGCCTCAGCTAATGCTGGCGTCAGGTATATTTCACGAAGTTTCAAACTCTCAAGAGTCTTGTGCTTGATGGCGTCAACCACGTTTGCTGCTGCTTCATAGGAGCATTTCCCTATGCGAAGGTCAAATTCAGTGACGTTTTCAAACCTTGGTAACAAAAATGCAAGTTTTTCTGCTCCTTTTGACGTTAAGGCACAACGCTTGACGGACAAAGAGCACTTGAGAGGATTTGTTACTTGCTCCAAGATATGACATAAACAATCATCACAATCTAAAACTTGAAGGCGTTCTAAATGATTACATTGTTTGATAATTGCCCCCAGACCTTCCATCGAAAATCTAGTGGGAGAACAATAAAAGGTTTTCAAAAATTTCAGACACGATTGTCCTGAACTTACATGCCCTGAATCAGAAGGCACAGCAAAGTCAATGAATAGCCTGGCGTGGTCCTCACACAGCAGATCCAAGTGCGTAATGTAAAAGTGGACTTGGTCATTACGGTAACAAACCACAGGCAAAAATCCGCAGAAACAACGAAAGTTATACATAGCAGAGAAATTTCTTACAAAATCTAAAACTTTGAGAATTTCAGAACTTTCAGCAACCAGTGTTTCAAGCGTCGCTTTCAGTAGTAGGACATTACCTTCCATGACTCTTACAACAGGGTATGTTAATCCAGAAATCAAAGACCAGGAGTTTTCATGCCTTGCCTTTAACAACAGGTCTTTAGGAAATGGTCTACTTCCTGGTGAAATAAGAATACTCCCAAGGCAATCCAAACAAGCTCTTGAAAGCTTATATTTTGATTCAACTTCCTCAAATGAATTCAAAACCAAATCGCGAAATATGCACTGACGCTCAGTGACGTCACTCAGTGGTGCGTCTGTCTCGTTTTCTAAGTCCGGTATTGCCTTTGATAAATCTAGCGAAGGATCTGAGATTCTGACAGACTTTAAGTGTCTCAAAGCTATTGACGCTCCATCTTCACTAAGGCCACATACAAACTGGAAAACATTCTTTAAAGCCAAGCACTCCTCGAACTTTACTCCAATTTCACCGAGATTTCCGCCTTCCGGTATACATCTGTGGGTAATGTACCATGCGGCAAGGAACTCTTGGATGCTCTTGTGAATAAACGACACCATTTCAATTGGTTGTAAGGTTTCTGAGTATTCGGTGATTTGAAGCAAACCAGTGAGGACGCTTTCGTCACAACGGACAGAACCGGACAACTGACTGTACTCAAACAAATGGTCATCCTTCAGAAGAGCTTTTAAAGCAACCTTTCCTATTTCTGAGAGGATCTTTTCTAGAGATGTTAGTTGGACATACAGAGGTTGTGTTTTCTTGCTATAGCTGTGATTTACAATGAACTGGACAATTTCTACGTACAATGTAGTTTTAGTTTCTGGAAAGACTTTTAACTGTCCCTTTTTCCAAAGAATGCAGAAAAACAGAAGAAGTAAAGGGACTTTCGCCAGTTCTTCCAGCTTTCTGTCACGTAAGTGTTCTTTCAAGTTTGACACTTCATCGGCACTAAGGAATCTCAGCATAAAGTCACTTCTGTCCACTTCGCTGAAACCCGTGATTTCAGCTTGCAGGTCTTCACTCCCCCGCAGTTCGTCAGATTTTGAAATACGAGTTGTTATTAATACACAGCAGCTTCTCAGGCTATTTCCACTAAAAATCTCGTATATTTCTGAATCACATCCACTGCGGTATTCGTCGTAGCCGTCAAAGATCAGAAGAACTTTCTCTTGGTTGTTAGTGATATAATCAACAAGGCCCTCTGTCATATATTTGTCTTCCTTTGCAAACACATTAGAGAGTCTTATGACATCTTTAAAACTTTGACATTTAGACACTTCCTTGAGATTTATGGCAACCACAAGCTCGAAGGTCTTCAAGATAGCTGCTTGTTCATCCCCAGTCTCGTTATTGACGTCCACCCAGTCCACAAGCAGCTTCTTAACAAACGTGCTCTTTCCAATTCCCGTCTGCCCTTGCACGAGTATTCTCTTTGGAATAACGCCGTTCTTCTTTCCTTTGAAGAGGTCAGAGTAATGCTTCAGTTCAGTCTGTGTTGTTCCAGCTGGGGTTTGTTCTTCTTTCACCCAGGACAGACGAGTGTAGATCTGGTGAATGTCGACAACGGATTTCTTACTCCAAACAGAAGTGGGAATAGTTGCTGTCTTTCGGTAATGATCTTCTAGTTTGCTTCGACAGGATTTCAGGTCGAATGGTTTCAGAGATGAAGCTTCTGATAAGAGACAAAAATGGAATCAGTATCATACAACGCTACGTATCTAAGTCTGACAACACTAGTTATACTCAAATGACAAGCAAACTATACCGATGTGAGCTGTCAAATAATATGCTTATTACCCATCCTACTCGGAATACAGTCGAACCACAGGTATCCCAAGCTCGAAATATACACGTCTGCACCGTTGCGTAGCCTTCAAAAAGTAAGGATTTGAACAGGAACACGTTTTTTTCCCTGTAACTTACGGATGTGAAAAGATTTCGATTAAAAGCGGCTATCTTCAATTTTAAAGTTCTGTGTTTTCTCTTTTCTAAGTGGTCTACTAGCAGATTTATATCCATTTTATCGGTTTTGTTGGTTCTCTCTAATAAGGATTATAAAGAGTACAAACCGGTTTCAAAAAATCCGATGATGGCCCCAAATCGACTCGGGGATCACAAAGGAAAGAATAACTGAAACATCGCAGCACAGTATGAGATTAGCCAACTTTTTTGTACATTCTTTCACAATCGTAGGTTACAGACACAATCGTGTTTTTTCTGCCATATAAATCCTTATATTTCAAAGGTCACGCAACAATGCTGATGCTCATATTTTGAGCTTGGGCTACCTGTGGTCGAACTTCCATGAAGCGGTCACCCTCTCTTTGGGTCCCTAAGGAAAAATTTTTTTTAAAACTTTATTGAGCTATCCAAGGAGACCCAGCGGCAGTCAGGCCGGTCAGGAGAAACGGTACGACGAAAGTTTTCAAGCATGGGCGAAAGTGCTCGGAAACTTTCGTTGCGCCGTTTCCTGTCGACCCTCCTGACTGCTCCTGGGTCTCTGATGATGCTCGGCAAGATATCACTTCGCCGAGGGTGGCCACTAAATAGAGGTTCAACCGTAATTGGCTCAAAACTTATAAAACTGGGCCGAGTTTTCAGTTATGAAAAGGACATAAATAAAACTAATAAGATGAGTTCTAAGAAAATGTCCAAGCAGGTCAAAAATAAACTAGCAGTTCGTGTTTTACCAAGTTTAAAAACACTTGATAACATTCTTGGTTTTTTATTGAACTGCACATAAAAACCTTGTCTATTTTAAACACACAGACAAAATTCAAAGTGTAACATTTTTGGTGGCGGCGGTGGTGGTGGTGTGTGTGTAGTATTTTCAGATGACCCCCAAATACCACCAGCGCCCCCTACCCTATGACAATGAACCGTCCCTTAGTTACTGTTTAACCAGGACCGCAAATCCACATTTTACTGATCGCTTGATCTCAGCACAACAACAACATTATGCTAACGATAACTTCACGCGATTACGACGATAAAACGGAAGCACAACAACAATATTAAGTTAACGACAACTCCATGCGATTACGACGATGAAACGGAATATCGTTACGACGAAATTCAAAAAGAAATGTGTAACAAAAAAGTGTGCCGAAAGTGCAAAGCTATCGTTTAGCTTATTAAAGCCAGTTGTTTTTTTGTATTCGTCCTCGACCTCCTCATAGTCGACGTTACTAAGTTCCCTAACAAAACATCTTTGTCCTTCACTTTATTCTGCAAAAAGTATAAACTAAAGCCGGGGAATCCTTTCATTCACAATTTTTGATAAAAGAAGTGGGACCGAACCTTAACCCAGCTAACCTGGTTTGTCGATCTGTGTTTTTAAACTCTTCAATTCTAGTCCAACCTCTTCTACTTTCACGGCTGTCTCAGTGTGACTTTGCTCTAAACGATAGACTCTCTCTTCTAGTGCTTGTAACCACACCCTTGAGTGTTCTTCAAAGGACACAAATCTTTCCAAAATCTTTGTAATCTCTTCACTTCTGAACTCCAGTGCATCAAGTCGTTCTTGATGCTCGTTCAACCTGCCTTTTTGATCTTTAAGGGTAGCAAAATCTTCTTCGAGTTCTGCTACTTGCTTGTTCTGTAGATTCAGCTGTGCCTTGAAGGCGCTGTACTCCTTGATGAGATCTTTCACTTCATCTTGTACTAAACAGAGAAGATCCTTGTCCACAGCATGTCCCATGATCAAATTACAACCTGAAGCAAATAAGATGGAATCAATTCGAGTGACAGGAAGTAGAAACAAAACTGTATAGCAAGAGAAGATTTGTATTACATTGCACTTGCAAACAAACAGTAATTCTACGGTTTATGAAAAATAAGCGGATCAGTCGAGGTTTCTGGATACATGTAAGTGACCACCTACCCCTCCCGTAAGTCACAATTTTTCTCTGAGTGAAAAGTAAGTTTTAATGTTGACTTTAGGGGAGGGGTGGGTGGTCAGTTACCCAGAAACCTCAATTGAACTGCACGTTACACGTATTTGGAACCATCATCAGTCCATAGACCACGGACTTGTTTTGGGGCCTCTTGCAGTGTTTGGACCTGTTTCCAGACATTATAAAGATCTGGTCAGTTCTCTTATATGTAGCATACATCACTATGATTGTAACAACTAGAAAGAGAGTAACAGAGATCCTTAATTCAATATTAAAGTACAGCTCGTGTTCTTTATCAATCTTGAAAAGCTAATTTATTGGATATAAGTGACGCTTAATAGAGGTGACCACTCACAGAGGTTAATCACCATGAGATAGATCTCTATACAGTGTATCTAGTGGATACCACAATACTTGCATGGTTTCCCTAATAGTTATCCACTGGATAGTGGATTGTTGTCTCGTGAATTAGCCACTATCTAATGTTTTGGCAAACACTTGTTCCTTCCCTCTCTGAAGACTGACTGTAGCTTGTTAATTGACGGAGTTGCAGCAGTTCATAGACTTCCTTACAAAGGACACTGACCAATCTTTATTATTTTATACACGAACTTGTATCGCTTTTACATGGTCTTCCTCGGAATCGTGTGTAAAATTAAACTAGCAGCCCTTTTCTGCATCTTTTGAAGTTTCTCTGCTAGTTCTTTATTAATATTACCCCATACAGCACTACAGCAATTAAAAGATGGCATTACCAACTGGTGCACTGTACAATTATTCGCTGGTATCAAATGGTAAAATAAGACTCACACGCTTGAAGATAGCAAGACCAGTGGATATATTTTTTGAAATGGTATTAATTTGTGGGTGCCAGCTCAGAGATTCATCAATTTGAACTCCAAGAGATTTATGTTTAATAATCATTACTCTTTCCAACAGTGTATTATTGACCCTTAACAAAGTTATTTTTTTGGGTGACAGCCATGACTAAATTAAATTCGGATCATAATTCATTTTATGTTCAAGGACACATGGTTCTTCTTCAGATGAGGTAAGGGTAGTATCATCTGCATACCTCCTGGGTTTTAAAAACAAATCAAGTCCAGGAATATCACACCATTTAGGAGATTGTTGTCAATATTCCATAGTCATTCATTTGCTACCTCATTTCCAATTAATCTACTAATGAATCAGCCAAGCCTGTTGTTTCGAAGAATGTTAACAGTCTGTACTTTTCAGCTCTGGACTACTTCACTTCACAGTAATCAACCAGAAATAAGGGTGTGTTCATTTTTTAAGGGGGAGGGGGGCTGATGGGATTTAAGGGGGGGGGGGCATGAATAAAATAGGACTTAAACGGGGGAAAGATACGGAAGGAAATAACATATTAGGTGTAAAGGGGGGGGGGGGGCCCCAAAAAAAATCCCCTCAAGTTTTCAACGTTGGACCCATCAAAAAATACCAACAACACCAACCCAAAAACACAAAACCACAAATTTTGCCCCCACACAAATATACAATCATCCACGAAAGACCACCTCACACCCAAGAGAAGTGGCGAAGGTGAAGATGTACGTGAAGGTTCAGAGAAGGAGAGGAAGAGGAGGAGTGGAAGAAGAGATAAAGTAAAGAAAAAAAACAGAGAATAGGGGGAGTGGCGAGAAGGGCAAACAAATGATAGGGTTGGAATGTGTAGGGGTGGGGGGGGCACCAAAAAAAATTCCTTCAAGTTTTGCAGTTATGGCATCTGTAATAATGCAAACAGCTGCCTACCAGAATGCCAAAAACCAGCATTTCTGACCTTCAGAAAGTTCAGATTTTCCCAGGAAGCATCTCCTCAGACCCCCTAATGTACACGTCTTACACACCAAAAAGCAATTCTACCCCAATAAAATGCAAAAAAGCATACCAAATTGAATGTTTCTTTGGAGAAAAAAACAACAAACTCCATTTGGGAAATGTTTCTTGCACTATTGATAAAGCTCTCAAAGTTTCTCCAGCAGTTTTCCTTTTTAAAAACAGACTCCTTATGCAATGTCATCTTATACAGACAATGTCTGTTCACTGCTTACGGCCATTCAAAACTTCTATTTGATTTATGTTCAGTTATTCATTTTTCATTTTTTCAAAATTCTTCAGCCTTAAGGTGGCTCGACTGGATTTTTTTAGGGGGATACCTCCCAAGTTTGAGCATTAACTACGTCAGCATGAGTAAAGATATGGAAAAAAGGTTACCACAACTGTATTATATAAAGATGAAAATTTCTTATGATCTGGGTTTTATTGCAATCAGAGTCGCCATGGCAATGTGATGACGCCATTACGTTTTTCATTAATCTTTGTGTCTCTCTTTACCAGGAGTTTTTTGAAGAAATCGCTTAAGGGAGTATGTTCCTGCCATATTTGCCTCCATTATGGCCAAGTTTAAAGAAATCTATGACAGCGTTTTCGAAATATTTTGAAATGCAGTTTTAAGAATCATAAAAACAGTGAAATAGCATGCTAGCCACACAATTCGCTAATATTTTAAGAAAATGACAAGCTTTGGGAACATGGGTTCATCTCATAGTGGTTTTATTCCATTGAAAACTGCATACAAAATAAGAGGGGAATTGCTCTGGGCGATCGCAAGTAAGAAGGATTTTATTAACTTGCATTCAGATGCTTTTGATACAGTTTTTGGAGGTAATTTGGCCCATGCCTAAAAATGTCACATTTTTCCAAAAACCGCTCGATAATTTTTTTAATAAATTCGACAATCCCAAGATCAATCGTCAAGAAATATTCCCCGCAAGTTTTAAGAACATTGAAAACAGGGAAGGCTTTTAAATAGAGCCTCAAATATAGCCAATTTCCCCCCCAGATTTTGTGTTTACAAGTGAGCGTCCTTATTATTCACTGGCATTGTTTTCATCTTCATTTTGTCTGATAAAACTGATAAAAAACTCTGGCGGAGCTGGAAGTACAAAACACGCTGCCGAACGAAGCGAAGGGGTGGCCAAGGCAATTGCCAAGGCATGGCGTTTGATCAAGGGGCAAGTCGGCCCCAGGGCAAGGGCACAATTACCGCGAAAAGCACAGGAGCCCCACAAAATGCCTGGCGTTTGAAATTAAAGAAAATACAGAGAATATAGCGGAATATAGACGGAAAAAAACTTGTTTCAAGTCTTTTTTTTAATTTTAATTGTTTTTCTTTTTAGCGCAAAAAGTGGGGGCGGGGGCGCAAAAAAGTGGTGGGGCCGCGGCCCTACCAGCCCCTCCCCCTCCGCGGTCCCTGTTCTTACTCGCAATCGCCCAGAGCAATTCCCCTCATTTTTTGCATGCAGTTTTCAATGGAATCACACCACTATGAGATGAAGCCGGGATTCCAAAGCTTATCATTTTCTTAAAATATTAGCGAATTGTGCAACTAGCATGCTATTTCACTGCTTGATGATTCTTAAAACTGCATTTCAAAATATTTCAAAAACGCTCTCATAGAATTTCTTCAAACCTTGCCGTAATGGAGGCAATTATGGCAGGTACATACTCCCTTAAGCGATTTCTCCAAAAAACTCCTGGTACAGAGAAACACAAAGATAAATGAAAAAAGTAATGGCGTCATTATGTTGCCATGGCGACTCCAGATCATAAGAAATTTTCATCTTTATATAATACAGTCGTGGTAACTTTTTTTCCATGTCTTTACTCACGCCGACGTAGTTAATGCTCAAACCTGGGAGGTATCAACCCATAAATATCCAGTCGAGCCACCTTAAACTCAGCTCTTTTTCTTCTTTCTTCTCATCATAATTATACTACAGGAGCTACTAGTCAAATCCCACCAGCTCCCCCTTAACAAGACAAAAAAAAAAACGGTCTCTGATGGCCATGCAATGTAAGGATCTAAAATAATTTAGTAGACTCTGTATTTCTATGTGCGCATAAGAATTGTTCATTTGTAAGAACTGAGGACCCTGATGCAATTTATACTGCATTATTCCTTCAAAATATTTTTTGTTTATGATTGGCTCAAATCCTATGGATAATTCATCATAACCACTGTAACCAGCTTGTGTTGAACAAATCTGGGAAAAGTTTGCAATATACATAAATACTACTGCATAATTGCCAGAAAAAGGCCCTTTTTATTGGTGTTTAGCTTGTTGTGGCTAAAAATAATATTTTTTAAAAAACTGTCCATTTTTGTGTGGCAGCATTAATTTGAAGTCACTTTGCTGGAAAGTTATAGCCCAGACAAACAAACCTATGGCTCTGACTAGGTTTTAGTAAGATTCATAGTTTTTGCTATATTATAATAAGATTTTTTTATGGCTGTTTAAGTTTGGAACATTTTGTGCACAGCTAGGAAAAAACACAGTGACTTCAGTTTCTAAAATTATGGGCATGTGGGGCAAAAACAAACACCATGACCATTTTCTATCTGGATAGTGTGTGTACATGTATAACTCCTTTGCAAGGAAAATACAAATAATGTACCTTAAACCACCAACATTGGTCACCTAGCTTAACTCCCAATTCAAGGGTGACTGCTTAGAAAGGTTTTACCTAATAGAGGGCTTCTGATAGGTCATGGAAGAAAAGTCAAATGTCGTGGAATTTTTACGGACAAACTTTGACAAAAAACAGTCAGTAAAAAACAGCCGATTTTGTGGGAATTTTGAGGGCAAATTTTGCTAGAAATCTATCGGTTTTGTGCTGATCAGACCAGCATTTTTAACATTTCCTTAACAGAGGTCATCATTTGCTCTTTCAACAACAATACCCTCCACAAGTCAGAGCCAATGGCAAAGCTTTTAACATCATTGCTAGTACCCAGTTTTTCAAACTGGTACAGCTGTAGGTTTGGGATGTTTCAAGATAAACTTGCACCTTTACAGCAGGTAAACAGCCCCAAGAGATGAGATACATGTGAGATACATGTTGTCCTGACATTCTATTTGATAAGATTTCTAGTGAATCTCGCGGTATTTTGGGTATTTTTGTGAATTTTGTGGGATTTCACGAATTTATCGGAATTTAATTAGAAGCTCCTTGACTGCGCGAAATATCAGAAGCCCTATAATATTATTAGTAATGGTAACAGGACTGAGTGGAGTCTAATTCGGTTGTAATCATATGAGTGATTAACAAAATCGGACGACCACGTAGCGGGAGTCCGATTTGTTTAATCACGAGTATGATTACAGACTCAATTGGTTGACACAAAGTTCTGTTACCAATTAATCATAACTTAAACAAAATTTGTGATATATAAGGCCCTTTTTTGAAATCAAAACAGAGGAAATTCCAATTTTTTTTGCTAGTAGTTAAAAAAAGCCATTTAAGCGCGCGTGATGGTGTGTACTGTCCAATTACTTAGGTACGATGTGTACTGTCCTATTAAATTGTCCAATTAAGGCTGAAATCAGGGCAGTTGGTAGCCAATCAGATTTGAGAATTTTGTTATAGTTATGATTATTATTATAATCAAATATGATTTGAAATGATATATTTACTGACTCACAGGGTGTTAAAATTGCTGTTGAAATTACAGTACCTTTTGTTTGCCAATCAGCAAGCTGGTCCAATGTGTCTTTCTCCAACCCTGCTACTAGTCCTAGACTCCTTACCAATGTCTTCACTTTGTCAAAGCAATCATTGAACAGGGCAGCTGTCCACTCAGTAAAATCAACATGGCCCCATTTGTTTCTGACATTTTCCCTGACATCATCAGCTGAAGCCTGGGTTTGTGGGGAAAAAACAGGGGCAGGCATGTAGTTCTTAAAACCTAACAGACGAAGAATGGCAGTCATGTCCAGTGACTCATCAAAGGCTGAAAACTGAGCCAGATAACCTGGCAGATATAACTTTGCCAAATCCACAGAACTATAGATGTTGAAGTTGTAGTTGCATACACCATGAACAAGATGATTGTTGTTTATATTTTGAAATTTCAGGTTCCTCAAGATAGGATCTGCTCGGACCAGACCGTGATTTAAAGTAGTTAGAGTACAAGGTGGGGTCAGAAGTTGACAGTGTCTGTCCAGATTTGCATAGTTGGTGTCCATTCCTTGTTTCATGGCATCCCGCAAAACAGGAGCAGCAACTTTGTTCATGGCAATTCCCACAACAATCCATCTTTTTTCTTCATCAGAAACCATCATCTGTGTAAATAATTACATGTATGGGTAAAATAATAAAAATTAAAGCTTCTCAATATGAGAAATTTTCTTTACTGTTCTACATATAAATAAAAAATATAGTTGAAGCTGTCTTTGTGACCAATCTCGCAAGTGACCAGCTCCACAGTGTAGTTTACGACTACCTTTGCAAAACCCCGTTTGAACGGTGAATTAAACTTTATAATGAAGCTGTCTTGTAAGCAACTGTGACCACTTTTGGGATTACCCAACTGGACTTTTTCTTTGTTTATAAGCTCTTGTAAGCGACCACTCAGAGTCTTATTCAGATAAATCGACACTTAAATGAAACCGTACACTACACTAAGTGGTTCCTTGATAAAGATCTTGGGGTTATTTTTGTCAAAAAATTGGACCCACAGTTTAGCTGTTGTGTCTATATAATTATCAGATATACATGTACTATGCAAGGATGGTCATTAAACCTTATTTTTTTTTCTTTTTGAAATTATTAATGAGTTTCTGAAGCTCTAGGTCGCTTATGAGAGCCCATCCTCGCACTGTAAGAGACAAGCCCTAGTTACGACCACTTTTCAAATTTATGAGGTGGTCGCTTATGAGAGCTTTGACTGTATTACAATTTTACAATAGTATTAATGAGGAGCATTCATTGCTTGAAAATAAAAGCATTTTTCCCTTAGCGATCTTTTGTTTTTGTCCTACAATGTTGATATCTGAACATAGAAGATAATTATCATAAGGAGAATTTAAATGCTGATCACTCTTAACCTTGTAAACCCTAATATCAAAATCCAAATTCTCATTTATATTTTTATATTTTGTTGTCCCTGTACATTTTTATTAGAAGTAGTGGGGAGAATTTGCTCAAGTTCAATTAGATTCATCTTCTCTGATCATGTCCACAATATTCTCATATGACCACACTTGCATACTGGGGGGAACATCTGCCCTTTAATACTTTGCTGCCATTAAACTCAGTGATTGGTCATGGTGGTAACAGACTAACCAATGTTAGTACAGTCAACATCCCTCTAGTAACTGAGTGACCCTTGGTGCAAGACAAAATGGTCACTAATGGGGGGTGGTTGTCTCCGGGAAAAATCAAGAACATAAGCTCAAACGAAACAGATTAACATAATAACATAATGTTATTACCTTACAAGCTAAAACTTACTGTAGGTAAAAAAACAACTGGCAGTAATGTTTAACATCAAATAGTGCTTGGAACTTTTAAAAGCTTGTACATACACTGTAACATTTTGCATCAATGTTACAATATTTACCTTTTAGTTAAGCAACAAATGAAACAGAGGTAGCAAGGAATACGAAGAAAGCATTGAATGGTTTGTCGGTGTTTACAGGAAGGTAGAAAATTATTTACCCACTGAATTTGCGACAAAATAATATGGTGAAAATGCATTTCAAAGTTCTTGGAACACACAAAGTTATAGGTACTATAAATGATGTCTTTATTAACAAAAGTTATCCAAATGATTTGATAAGTACTTAAAAAAATAGGTGCTTAAGAAGCGCATGTGACTACTGCTGAAGAGTAAAATGAAAATGGTAGAATGGTGCTACATATGCCATATCCTTTTGTGGTTTTTGTACAGCCCCATACATTTATTATACCTCGTTCAACACAGTTGAATGCTTTAAAATGCATTGTGACGTTTCTCAATGATTCATAACACATTTTCAACGTTTCCCATGAATGCATGAAGCTTTGTCAAATGATGGAAAATGATTTCACATTGTTCAATGCCTTGGCAATGATAGCAAATTAAGGTCAATACGGGACACATAGTCACTCTAATATAGTCCTTTTTACAATGCACTGCACACTGCGTGCCTCCAACGCTCCCTGAGGAGGAGCGTTGCGTGACGACCTTGAGGAGACTACAAAACGAAAATCGGCGTATTGATTAGACATCAACTACCTTGGTCAATCAAATGGGGGCCTAGTTTGGATGGACCAAAATCGAAAGTATAGTTGTTTTCATTACCTTTACACAAGCAATATTGAAAATATACTTACGGATGAAAAAAACAAAAACATACACAGTAGCAAAGGCAGGTTGTATGATCATGACAGCCTCAAATTGCATTGGATTATATATTTTCATGGTTCGATACTATCGCATTATATTAGCTTTAATAAGTCCCTGTAAAATAAATATCTGGCTAATTTACCAACAAGCTTTACAGTTTTTTCTGATTCAGTTGCAGAAGATTTTCCTGAGACTTTTTATCTTTTGTGACATTGCATGTGAAGACTCACAAGACCTGAGAAATGATTGACAGGAACAGCAGAAATTACCTTGATTGCCCTTGGAAGTTGATAAATTGTTAATTAACAGAAACATCATTCAAATATAATTCTTAAAGAAGAAACACTCAAAAAATAATCTGTTTCCTTACTACGTGTGTAGCGAATTGTGTGTCATTTGCCTAGTTGCTTCTAGAAAATGAACATCCTTGGTGAAACCTAATCCTGTGAGCTACATGTACTTTGTTGCCTAGCACATGACTGAAAGTCTACTCCAAAATTTCATTACATAATGTTTTCACAGGAGGTGATTTGAAGCGGAGAAATCTATTACACAAATATTGTGGTTTGAAACTAATTATTTTGAAGATGAGAAGTGAAGATACGCTTCTTGAGAAATGATGTGATTCACTGCGTTTTCATTTGGTTACACGGCAACATTTTTTCAAACTTGAATACACGCAACTTGTCTCACAAGCTATCAAGACTTATCAAAGCAGACTACGAGGCAGCTGAGCATTTCATTTGTCATCGAGGACTATCGGTAAATCATCAATGTGACAAACGATTCCGAAAATCGGTTATCTTTGTATTGTAATTGGCTTGGAAGTATATTCTATTGTTACTTACTTACTTTCGGAAAACTAAGACGATGCCAATCGTGACACTGGCGCATGCGCAGTAGTCACAAAAACTAAAAAATAACTATTCCCCTTAGGATACAGTAGATATACAAACAAACATGTATTGTCGACTCTTTGCATCTGACAACTGGTACATATCAACCACCATTCTTCTCCCCTTTGGCGGGTAGTTGTATAATAGTCCACATAGCATGTTTGGCGAGTCTGACTGTCTGCCACTTTCCCCCTTTCGAGCCCTTTCATATCATATTGCATGATGTCAAACGATATACAATCATTGATCTCTAGCCATCGCATGTTTGTTCTATTGAGTACTCAGTTTTGTGGCGGTTCCCACTATTTGAATTTTAATAAATTTCGTGACACAGCTCCTTTAAGACGCAAACTATCATGAAAAACCAAGGATATGCTTACCTAAGTTCTGGAATCCGCAATCGAAGTCTCTAGTGGGTCCAAGTCGTCTTTCTACACAACGTCCATAACATTCAATTCACGCAAGCTTGAGTTGTTTCGAAAAATTAATGAAAAGTGTTGAGTTAACACCTCTTATTATACATTAAGTAATGTTTTGAACACTTAGAAGGTTATAATAGCACACGGGAGGCAAGAAATTTCAACAAAAAGCCGTCCAGACTCGAGCAGAAGTCAAATCCACTCGAGATCGGTACTTTTCTCGCTTCCGGAATTCTTGGGTGGGAGGGGACAACAGAGAGAAGCCTGGGAATGAGGTTGCTCACGTGAACGAAGAGTTCGCTGAGAGACACCCCCCGGCTCCAGCCGAGTGGCTCCTCGGAATTATTGGTGGGGTTTGTCTCCTTCGCAGCAATTTTCCCGATGTGCGAGCAAGGATAATAGGATGTAGGGCCTAATTGGAACGATCTGACTTTTTCTTTGGTTTGCATCTTGGAGAGCGGCTTTATTCCCACACCGATCATCTATCTAAGGATCTTTAGGGTACTAAAGCTTACTAAGGTGGCTGCTATCAGTGGTCAACGACTGGCAAATCTAACAAAGGAGACTCTCACAAAAATGCCCAGTGATCAGAGCTTCGACCATTTGTATGCTAATGTTTCCCGCAAGAGTGAAGGCCTGCTCGGTGAACCAACGCTACCAAGAAAGCGATGCACTTCGGCCAGACTGGAGGTTGGTGCTAGTGCAACAAGCTACCCCTAAACTGCCAACGATCACTTTAGAGGGGTCTATTATGAGGCTATTGATCTTATCGTCAGCGCTATCTATCAGGAAAGCGTCAGATCCTACGTCAAGATGGAGACCCTCTTGGTTAAATCTGCTAATGGTGAGGACTACGAGGCACATTTCAAGTTTGTTGAGACATCATACAGCGAAGATGTGATACAAGGGCGCTAGCTGGGCATACCATTAAGTATTTTGGAGGTTATGCTAAAGAGAAGATATCATGTTTTGACGAAATCCTGTTGATGGTGTCGAAGTTTCCAGAACCAGAAAAGAAGCTTATTCACGAGCCCAAACTATCTGTAAGCTGCATGCTGTAAATCCTGGAACCAGCACTGCTGGCGAGCGTTCTTTCTCATCAGCACGGCGTCTGAAGACGTGGCTTCCATCCAGGATGGGTGACCTAGCAGTGTTGAATGGTCACAAGCGGAGAACAGACAGTGTCTCTAAAGCTAACGTCACACAGGACTTTGTTTCCCGCAATGAGAATCGCAAGAGAAGCTTTGGCACTGCAGACACCTTCAACTGAAAGGAGCAACCTTAGAAAGGTTTATTTAACATACTTGCTGTATTGGATAGTATAACATGCCACGTGTGGACTTTGAGATGGCAGATGACAAATAAGATGGCGCACAAATGCAACATAAATGGGGAAACACCGACCTGAATGTTTCTTTGCATTGGCCACGTTTTTTAGCCCTACCACTTTAAAATGGACTCCTCGGTCCCTGTTTTTGGCATATTTCTTAGCAACTTTTAAGCTTTTTCGGAGCAGAATCTGGAAAGGCCTACCCGTAACGCAAAGCGCTCGATCTCGACGATCTTAGGGAAAAATAGAAGACCGTGAACAGTCTATTATTAAAAGGCATAAAGTATCACATTTAGCTCTGTGGGTTTCGCCGACTGGTTTGTGGAATTTAAAAGATATTCAAAATTCGCGTCAAAACCTAAAAATTAACTGGTCCGTGAAAACGCCAAGAGTGCATGGAAGTTTCTCACTCCAGGTTTTGGGCTCCTGATGGCTGTGAAGGAGACCAGGTGGGGGTGTGCTTCCTGCACTGGTTCTCCAAACCCTTACCGTATTTCAGACCAAAAAGTGTTATTTTCCACACCCGTTTTCAGACCTTATCTCTAAAATCCATATTCAATTTTGAAAGAAAGGACTAGCTTAAAAAAAAGAAGGACCGGATCCTAATAAATAAGTTGAAACATCGAACAAAGAAGCAAAGCTGATTTTACAGTCGGGAAAATATATTTCTTTACCAATATTTCGGAGGCAAGGCTTTCCTTCTTCATGGTCTTACATTCGGTGATAAAGGTTAAGCTTAGCCTGCATGGCAGGCGTTAAAAGCGGAAGCCGGTAATTTGGGCGCGCAGGGCGCGTCCTTACTCCTCCCTCTAGCGCGGTCTCGCGCCCTAATTTCCTTCTCTTTCGAACGCCCTGCTGCGCAGGCTAGGTTAAGCTCAGACGTTACAATTTGACATAAAGAATAGCGTGCAATATGATACTTTAATATCACGTGAAAATTTACTCTTTTTAGACAGAAATTATTTCATAATTGCTTAGATTAGAGCGCAAACAAAATATTTCTTCAAATGCATCTCGAATTCGAACATTTCTATCTCTCTTTGTTGTTCATTTGGAATTGAAACGACAAATACATTCATTCGTCCCCAGGAAGAGCCCAGGGCCGGGTTGTTTATAGCCTCCCACTCAGGCGTTTTTAGGGGTGCTCGTTTTTCATCCCTCCCCAGAAACGCCTGCTCAACTGAAGACAACATCCCTGGGGAGGGATGAAAGACTAGCACCCCTAAACCAGGGCTAAGATAACCCAGGGTTAGTGCTAAATTTGACAGTCAAACCCTGCTTTGTGGTACTGGCTGTATTCAATAAAATCTAAACAGTTTGCTTTGCCGGCCGGGGAAAGAAAGCCCTTAAATTTTCTCTTAAATAATATTTAGACAGCGCTAGCTAAAAGCGAAGCTCTGGTTCATAATACTTGTAATACGTGTAATGCTAAACTGGGAGGGCAATGAAAATGGCATAAAGATCAACAGATCTAATTAGCAAAAAAACAAATTGCACGTGCAGCACACTTTTTGTCTTTCTTTGCCGTTGTTTTGCACAACTACAGCGCGGTTTTGAAGGACTAAAACGTCAAACTTCCTAGTTACACATTATTTTTATGGAGGAATTGTCGTATGTGCTAACCCAATATTTTGTCTCCTGTGTTCATGTTCGCTTTTATTTTTCACTGCCGCTCATTTTTACCTTGCTGGCCGCTAGCATTTCTCATTGTGTCACAGCCGCTTTGTATTTTCCTGTAATTCGTCTCTTTTGTTTTCAATCACTCGCTCTAGCTCTTTCTCTGTTATCCACGTGAGTGTAAACATCAAAAATAACATCGAAAAAGACACGACTTTGTTGTTGTTGTTTTTCCTTCTAAAAGTCCGGGCGGCCATCCGATTTCTTTCCAAATAAAACCTTGAGTTGAATTTGGGTTGCCATACCTGTTGATTGAATTATTCTACATTGGTATATCTGTGGTGCGGACGGACGCTCGGGCGGGCGGTCGGTCGGTCGGTGTACGGTCACGTGATTACCAAATTTTCTCGGATGGATAGTTTACCACATTTTTTAACCTATGGTGCTCCGCTGCGCGCGCGTCGCGCGCGAGAGCTCCGCTATCAATCCGCTTAATACGGACACTTTTTACGGCCTAGCTCCTCAGTGTCCGACTAAACATGGTTCGAGTGTATTTAAATTATACTTGACTCCCGATAACTCGAACCCTCGCTATCTCAAACCAAAATCGATTTCCCCCTGGATTTCCGTCATACATTTACTGTAATTTTACCCTCGGTAACTCGAACCCTTGATAACTCGAACCTCCCGCTAACTCGAAGTAATTTTTGTTTCCCCTCAGATCATTTCTACACAATTTTACCCTCGATAACTCGAACCATGTTTTGAGCCCTTAAAAGTCGGGGAAAAACTGTCTGCTGGCGTCCCAAATATTGAATTTTGAATTTCCCGTTGACGTGTTGTAGGCATATAGTTTACTATTGGTGGCTGATGTTTGTCACAAATCTAACGTGAAACAGCTTTACTTCCCAAAACTCGACAAAACAGTAAAACGCATGCTCTATTTAGGCAATGCTTTATTACGTTACATACTGATTTATAATCTAGAAGTATCTTTTAATTTTCACTTGACATTCCTACAATCAAATGTGATTAAAATGTTCACTATGCAGAAAAAAAAATTGTTTTTTTCCTCCCGGCTATTTTCTTCGAGCTCCCGATAACTCGAACCTTTTTCGATTCCCCCTGAAGGTTCGAGTTATCGGGAGTCGACTGTATTTAGAACATGGACAGTTCAAAATAATGAAGAAAAAGACATAACAAAAGAGAAAGAAAAACTTAGAGAAGAAATTCTAACAATGAAAAGCACAGTCGACGCAAATGCGTTTTCAACCTTTATTTCATAAATTTTAATTTCCGATGATACTTTGATCATACAATCAATTTATTATACAAACACACACACAAAAAAAATTAAATGTGATAATATTGGAACTCATTTAAATTATGGTGGTTTTAATAGAAAAAAGACTATTTTTACTTTGGTCAAATTTGTTGTTTTCATTAAGAGCAATTATATATAATTCCAATATTTCTATCTTCTCTTTAGCACGCATTGATATTTTCATTCAATCTGGATACGTTTTCACTTATCAAACTTGTAACTACACGTATACAATTTCTTGATTTAATATTATATTAAATACTAATAAATTCGACAAAAATTATGTATTACTTGGTTATTGTTACCAAATGTAATTAATTTCAGAAAAGAAGTTTGGGGGCAGACATTTCTTAGAAGTTACCCTTGTCAGTCTTTATACATTATTTACTAAAAACTGTTTCGATCAACCTATCTAAACAAAAGTCTATATCTCCCTACCGACTGAGGCTATGTTCGCACTGTCCCGGACGTAGCTAGCTTTTCGCGCCGACTCTAAAATCTATCGGGTATGTGATGAACCCGACCCATGATGATGTGATGAATATGGATATGTGACTCTCCACTTTAAATGTAGAGATGGCACGGCGTATCTTAGCCTCCCACGCAGACGTTTTTAAGGGAGCTCGTTTTTCACCCCTCCAACGAGCTCCCCTAAAAACGCCTGCGTGGGAGGCTAAGCGTATCTGCGCTCCGTCACAGAAATCGCACCGAAATCACCGTCCTCATGCGTGAACAGAAGCTCTATACGGTATCAATGTTTTTCGTGCCGGCGCTAAAACTATACGATACGTGTGAACATAGTCTAAAGGTGATGTTACAAGGGACGATTTGCAACAACGATTTTTCGCGTAACACAGCTTTACAACATTGTTGCGACATTGTTTCGAATGGTTGCCACATTGTTGCAACACTGCAACCCTAAGTTGCGCTGAAAATCGTCGTTGCAAATCGCCCATGTAACATTATCTTCAAAGTTCCTTACCGTTTTTTTAAACGATAGCATGACAGGGCTGTGTTCTTGTGGTTTTATTTTGTATGGAGTGACATCTTTATTTATTTATTGTCACCTGTCTTTTGCTGTTGCCATGGGTTGATTTTCTCAAGTAGTCACGATCTATTGATATTTTGGTAAAGAATTCATAGTTGAGTTTATTTCGTTTACACTTCTTATTTCGCAACGCTTTTTATACATCGATAAGGGTAGCCTGCGAGCAAGCTCTCCTGTTTGGGCGAGTGAAACGAGTCTCGCGAGAACGCGCGAGCGAGACTCGCTTCGCTTGCCCAAATAGGAGAGCTTGCTCGCAGGCTACGATAAGGGGTGCGGTGGCCTCCCCGCAGACATCCTTTGGGGTTCGTTCGTCACGCATTCATCTCTCCCCCACGTGACGAACGAACCCCAAAGGACGTCTGCGGGGAGGCTAGGGGTGCGGCTGATTTTCCACCTTAGTTTCACCTTAGTTAGACGTCTGGGCTCACGGGCGAATTTTATAAGATTTCTTTGAAATGTATGCTTACTATGGTTGTGAAATGTAAAGAAAAATAATGTATCCAACAAAGTACCAACACTTCAAACTTAAAATGTTGAGTTGAGTAGCCTTCAATTTTCTAGAGTTCTCTAAAAGATAAAAGCAAAATTGACGACACTAAGGCCCGGTTCAGACGCCCATCCACTCATGGGCCGAACCTAACTAAGGACTGCCCACTCTGAACAGCAGATTCAAAAACACGTGTGGACGAAAGCCGAATCGGCAAAGAAAAAGTTGCGGATGCGGGTAGATGGGGACTAAACCGGTTTAGACGCTTGGGCCGGTTTAGACGCAACGACGACGGCGACGGCAACGAGAACGGCAAAAAAGCAATAGGTTTCGATTAGTAAAACAACAACTGTGCACGTGCATCGCGATTTTTTGTACATTTCTTTGCCGTCACTGCACGACTAAGATCTGAAAATACCTAATTTCATTTTTCGTGGAGGACGTTGACACAAGACGACAACTTTCTTTTTCTTTTCCCCGAACTTCGATACAGTCCTTTAGAATTCAACTCCAGAAAAATTTGCCAACATTCGACGAATTGAACGAGATGGAATAGGCGCGATAAAGTTTGAAGCAGCGCGAATTCACTTTTTATGTGACTTTTTCGTAGCTGTCACCGTCGTTGTTGCTCAACCTCGTTTCCAGGGTTCTCTCCTACCCGCCCCCTGGAGCGAGAGAGGGCGGGTAGGAGAGAACCCTGGGAACGAGGTTGGTTGTTGCTTAAGCTCCCTAGTATTGAAAAGAAATTTTGTTTTTGTGAGTTGTATCCGTAAGAGATACAATAGTAGTTTTCGGTGGGATTTCAAGAGGAAGCTTTAATAGAACGCGATTTCACACAATCAGTGTATCTACGACTAATTGTTTAGTAAATGAGCTGTTTTAGTAGATAGACGTTTTTCTAAAACTAAAAATATTATTTCCATGGCCTGGGTACATATTTGATAACATATTTTTGAAGATGTTAAAGCAAAGTTAAGTCTTCCTGGAATATTTCGGCGGACTAACTTCCGTAAATGCAGATTAAAGATAGTTGCATAGCCGCAAACGATATATACGGACTCATACATGGATGGGAGTTCCAGGATGCGGTAGTAACAATGGATTCTTGTATTTGGCCAAAATTACTTTACTTAGTCAGCGATGATGGAGCGTTCTTCAAAATTATGTTATCGAAAATGTTTTTAGCTTCCAGTCTTCGTTATGTGACTTCTGATTCTCGTAACTAAATGTCTCTCGCTTGGCCGTGGGGATCTGGGTACAACAAGATTAGTGACTTCGTCGACTGTCGCAAAAAAGACAATTATCAGTTAGGACCTCCACAGCGATCAAACGTTCAAGGTGTATTTTGTTTTAAAATGGTGGAATTACATTTACCAGTAAGTGTAGAAACATGCCTGGGCAAAAAAAGTGCAGTCGAGATTATTTTGTTAACCTAACTGTCTTTTCATTTTTCTCGAAATATCGAGCTTCTCATCGTTGAAGACGCTCCTCGCTGGAGTGAAATCAGCTGGAAAATGACGCTGACATAACACCAACTTCGATGTTTAACACTTACAACTTTTTTCAGTAAACTCTCAAAACATTTAGTAAACGGACGGGATATTGATAATATCTTTGACGTACTTTGTTTAGCTTTCAGTTATTTCTCTCGTTTGACCGCGGTAAAGTTAGGCGCATAGGTAAGCTAACTTGAATGGCTGAAAGTACAAAAGACGCGTCTTCCATTCAAACAATCAAGGAGTCTAAGATTTCTGATAGCAATATTAAAGGGGCTGTGTCACGGCAGTTCAGTTCATTTTGTTTAATTTTGCCAATTACTCGCCCTCAATCGCTATGGAACTTAAAGTAAGCACAGAAATTATATGTCAATGACAAAATCAGAGATCCGTGACAAACAAATATGTGTCCTGAACATTATTTTTGAAGTTGCAAGCAGCAGGGATCAACTGTTAGGTTGAACAGTTTTCAAAACCCTAATTTCAATCAGTTTCAATCTTCTTCAGTTTTGCCCATCCGTGGCGTCTGTTGTTTCAGTTATGTTGATTTAACCTTCATTTAAAGTTTTAAGCGGCTATTTTTATGTTTCTCTTAATTTAACGGGAATTTTGTAATTTCCTAATTTGGCTGAATTTCGTGACACAGCTCCTTTAAGTTTTGGAAGTCTCCTATGCTTAGCAAGCTGAGGAGGCGGCTACTATTAAGGCTACAAAACGCACAGCCTCCAGAACTATTCCTGTTTTTAGCAGGTCTTTTTAGTTTTTTCCTTCTAAGCGCAATAAATCTTCCAGCTATAACATGGTAACGCACCTGTGACTGCCCTTGGATTCCTCCTTTGATAGCTTCGGAGAATCCCTAGATCGCGGCTGGGTTGCGTTTTCTCTTGGGGTTGTCCCCGATCCGGTGTTTCCGCCATCCGGCTGATAGGATCTTTGTCGGGATTCTCCATCGACAGTGCTCCTTCGGAACGTGTGGTTAGAAATTTGGCTCTTCATGTAAGCCACAGTATTTTTCTCGGGATGGAAAATGATAATGTAAATCTTTGGCACAAAGATGCAAACTAGCATTCCTGTGGCGGAGATGATAGATGAGGTACCCGATACTATCACAGTGTATTTGCCGCGGATGTTCAAATAAACCGGGTAAAATGTCACCCACGAGATGACCAGGACGTAAAGTGCAAATGCGATGAATTTCCCCTCGTTAAAGTTGTGCGGGAGTTTCCTGGACTTGAAAGCAAAGTAGCAGCAGACAAAGGACATGATAACGAGAATAGCGATAAGAAGATACCGACAGAAAAGTCCCCCTGTGTTAGTAGTCTCTGAGCAGGTGTAAACGAAAGTCGTTCGCAATGATTTGTCGACGTATGGGTGGGGAACGTCAACCACGAACCATATAAGAAGAATCAGGACATCGAGAGCCACAATGCCGATAATTATCAAAATATGCTTGTGTTTCTCGATAAATCTTTTGGTAAGCGCCGACCGAGGAACACGATGCTCAAACAAATGTACAATTCTCTTCGTCTTGACTCCAAGTACGACAATAGCGACGGTGTAAAAAATATAGAACCAAGCTTGTATTAACGGGCAGATCACATCGTTGGGTTCTGAAAGATTTACCATCGCCCATAAATAATTCATCCCTATGCTGAAGAGGAATAGGTAGCTGAGTTCTCTATTGGATGCTTTGACGATTGGCGTGTTGTTGCGCCATCCAAGCACAGCACCGACAGCTAATGAAGCAAGCATCCCTAAGCACGAGATAACGGTGATGACTGCGCCTAAAGGTTCTCCAAAATGGATGCGCTCTAAAGGAACTGGTACGCACTTCGTACGATCTTCATTTGAGATGTGGTCTTCCCCGCACTTGGTGCAATTCATGGCTCCATATGAAGACGAAACAGTGTTTTCAGAACACCGAATGCACTGCCAACAGCAGTTTATCTCCTGCGTCTGTCGGTATCCTGGCTTGCATCTCTCACTGCAGACCGAGCGCGGGATGTTTCCTGTGAGCCCGTCGTTCCAGACGATGGTGCTGGCATTGAGCTTGAGTTTGCCTTCTTCCCAGGTCCCCACTTTAAGAACTCGACCTCCTTTCTCTTCATCCACACGATAATTGATGATACTGTAAGACGCGGATGAGTCGCCATTTTCATCAAAATAGACTCTAGAGACTTCACTAGAGAAGTTGACTTTCTTTAGGTAGTCAAGAACATCCTTTGGTCTGGCAAAAGGCTTTGTTTGGGGACATTTGGAGTTACACCTATAGATAGCGTCTAACGCATGCGCGATTGCATACACAGCGTTGATGACATAGGTTGCTTTGCTGTCAGACAAACTATCCTCGAAGATTTTTTCAGTTACCTGCAGATCATCTGAGCATTGCTTTCCTCCGGATGAAACAACACCAAATGTACAATTATACTCTCTTTCCCAGAAAGTTTTCCACCATGGCGAGTTTCTATAAAGCGACGTGCGTGACAATAAATGCCGCTTATATGAAGGAACAGTAATATCCGTGAATACAACTCCAAGCATCCCCTTTAAGACTGGTTGAAGTTCTTTCTTTCGGATAACGTCATCATTATCACCCCAAGCCTCGCTAGCGATCCAGATTCGATCCTTAAGTCCTTGTCGCAGTGCCTCTTCCAACACAATTGACGCAGATTCTTTGTCACAATATAAGATAATCACACCAACATTTTCTCTCTCGATAAGTTCCTCGACAATCGTCCGAATTCTTTCCTTGCCTTGGTCGCCAACCGGAAAATAGTTATCGTACGCAATACATATCCCTTGGGGTTTTGAATGCTTACGGAAAAATTCGATCCCCGATCTCCCGTACGCGTCGTCTGCGGCGATCGCCGCTACGTAGGTCCAATTAAAATACTTTGCAATATCGGTCATAACCTTCGATTGGAAGCGATCGGGAGGAACAGTACGAAAAAACGAAGGGTACGCGCTACTGCTAAGTTCGTCGCTAGTAGCAGCGTAGCTTATTAGCGGAATGTCTTCAACCTCTAGTAAATTTGATACCAGTATGGAGGATCGCGATGTTCCGGTTCCCACTACTGAAGCCACCGGGTAAAGTTGACCCCGCGGTAAAATAGCACACGATTCATTTAATGCAGGATTTATCACAGAAAATTTATGAACATTCACGTAATCCAACGTAGATTTCATAGCTTGACGATTTTGTAAATTCGTGTCAGAAATATCGTACCCCAGTGTAATCTTTGGTAGCAGTTTCAAATCCTTGTTGATTTGATCAATTGCGAAGACCATGGCTTCCGCTAACGACAGAAACTTTGATCGAAATTTTCTACGCACGTGAACGGGGAATAAACCACCGATCACTACGTCTCCTTTCTCGTAGATTCTCACACCGGGCACGGTGTCTGCCATTTGTGCAGTTTGTGGTAAAGCGAAACATAAAACCATCGCTAAAACAAATCCAAAGCTGATGTTTTGACAACGAAATATCAGCCGAACCATTTTAAAAGTAGTTATATTGCGTGAATAGAAGTTCTCAGAATCTTCACAATCCTCTTGAACACGTTTTTTTGTCTCAAACAAGTTGAATTAATTTTCCCCTTTCATCCTATGACTTCGCCGCGAGGCGTAATTTAGTCCAAACCTTTCTTGGGACAGTAGTTCGTGCAAAGGACACCATCCATAGCACGTTCTAACCTGCCTTCTGTCAATCAATTTGAATTTTGATGGCCTCACTCCGCATGATTGCCCACTGAAAAATGAAACGTTTGGATTTTGGTTACTAATCTAAATAAACTAATGCATTATTCCCCAGAAGACGTCATGCTGTCAATAAGAGGAACATTTAAAAAAAAACCGTCGCCGAGTGATATAGTCTTGAAACAAAAATTTCGCTTGTTGTAAAAGAACTGGAACTCCAATATTCATTATTCGAGTTGACAAAAATCCTTTCGTCAGCAGGAAGCCATCTCTTGTAGAAGGAACTGCATCAAAACTCCATTTCTTTACGATAAAAATGGCAGTATTTGTTTATCGAAGTAAAGTTTTGTTTCTTGATTGGAAAGCTATTGTAGGTGAAAACCTCAACAAGCCATTTTTCCAATCCTCCATGACTTCTAATTCCCTAATCACCACATAAGCAAATATCAGTCGATTATTTCCGATTCCTATGGTTCGCCTGGTTTATTGTTTTTGAAAAGAGAAAATTCAAAACATTTTTTCTATGTCACAAGATATCATGTATAATTAAGGTGCCTGTTGTTTTAGTAAAGTAAACAACGTATTCAGTATAGAAGCCATTAGCACTTATTGGACTTCCAATTATAATGGGAATTTCTGTGTTCCATTAGCATTTATAATCATCACTGAGTAAGCAGATTTTATCAGTATTATAATCCAATCCGTCTGTAATGTCAACTGTAGAAAAAGAAAAATCAGAAAAGACTAAAAATATAAAAAAAAACTTACTTAAAAGTTCATAGAAATTTGTCATTAATATTAACATGACTAATTTTCCATAATTGCTGCAAGTGTCAAGTAACAATGTTGCTGACATATTTTATTTTGATTACCCTAGAATATAATTTATAAAACTGGAGACAAAAAAAGAATAATTGCTAACGAAACGTTTTGAAATAAAGACATTTCTTATCTAATAGGCAGCACAGAAAGTCAGGTAGGGAAGGTAAAACATATCTGCACGATCAGGATAAAACAAACTGATAAAAAATAAATAAATAAAATTAATTTTCCTTTTCCTCCTGGTCACTTCAGAGTTCAAATAAACCCAAAAGGCGGCAGTTTGAGCGTTTGCAAACAGCTTAATTGTGTTTGGTGTTCGTGATTCACCCAGGGTAACTCATCAATTGCAAACGTGGAAGATCCGTAAAATTTCCTTAACGGGTTATCAATAATGCACGTAATTTAAATTCAAGCCACAATCTTGATTCAGTGGGTCTGTCATCAAAGTACTCGACCTCGGCGGTCAGCCGTCTTGGCAATTTTGCAGATGTGCCAACTGATACTACTATATAATTGTTTTTATTAACATCTTTTCGAGATCTTTATCCAGTTCAAAGTACCTCTCTATAAACTTCCACGCACTCTACCCTTTTTCCTGTGTGATCCGTTTTCAGTTCTCAGTTCTACTGCGTTAGTGATAAGTATGCCAAATATAACTTCATTTTCTTGGAATTGCAGAGAAGCAACATTGTGTTTAGAAACTGAAAGTTGGCTGTATTGGGCAGAAGTCACCGTTTTTTACGTTTGTTTACAAAACCATTTGAAAGATTTTTATTTTAATTAGTTTCTTATCGGAAGTCACGTTCTGTTTTATAGGGTCTAGAAATCCACCATGTTTATCAGTTTGTAAAAATATATCATGACGTTCCTTGTTGAAAGGGGTTTCTTCTTAAAAGTTATGCTAGATTACACGCAATGGTCGGGAAGAGCGGGGAAGGGGTGGGTCCGGACCCCAATTTACGCAGGCATGAGACTGAGGAATTTTTCTAAATAGCCTCGAAACCGAAGTTGTTGTTACTGAAGGGTAATAACAAAAGGATCAAGAGACTTAAAGTTTTCTAGGAAAAAAGTAGGGAGCTTTAGCAACGACGACGGCGACGGCAACGAGTGACGTCAAAAAAGCAATAGGTTTATTACGCAAAACAACAACTTTGCACGTGCATCACGCTTTTTTGTACATTTCTTTACCGTCCTTGCACGACTACGACGTGAAAATGCCTAATTACAAGTTTTATGGAGAACGTAAACAAGCGACGACTTATCTGTTTTTTTCTCTCTAAACTTGAGTGTGGTCCTCAAGAAATCAACTCCAGGGAAATTCGCCTACACTTGCCATTTTCAGCAAATTGGAATAAACGCGACAAAGATTGAAAAAACGGGAATTCTTTTTAAAACTGACGTGTTCGCTGCCGTTGCCGTCGTCGATGCTAAAGCTCCCTAGTGTGACGGCCGAGGAGCTGAGAAGGGTGGAAAAGATTGACTTCAGTGCTGTGCACACGTCTGGACCCCACCGATAAAAAATTCCTTTTTATTATTAATCCGCCCCTGACAAGTCAGGAATTAAAAGAAATCGTATCTCTCCGGTAGGTACTTAATAATATTGAGCTGATTGTGCAAACTACTTCCGCTCCGAAACTGCTGAAACTAAAACTATTTTACGTGCAGTACTTTACACTGGAAGTAAAAGGAAGTAATATAGAAATGAATACCTTACAGTCGGAACCTTTTCAACCAGTTCCACTCTTCAAGTCGCCCAATATCCGCATAAATGACTTCAGACTGATGACCCTACATTTCCTTTAAGACCGAGAGAATTTGATAAAAGATCAAATTATTTCTCTAGGATTATCATTTTTATTGATTCTCATAACACTTCCTCTTGTTTATGTACATCCCCAGAGACCTAGGGGGAGTCAAAGTAGGTCGGGATTCGTCGCACCTTTTCTCTCGACCAAACTCATGACTACCCCTTGGTCTCGGTGGATGGATTATGTATCAGTGATATTGTTAAAAGAAAATTCATGATATTGGACAGTCTTGGGACATATAAGGTAAAAAGGGTTTCTGTTTGTGATCCAGATGACAATTTTGCTTGCCGAAACTTTTGCTTAAAATAGTCGGTGACCAGTTATATGGAGACCGCTTAATAGAGGGTCGAATATAACAGAGAGGACTTAAAATGCCGGAGAAGAAAACGCTTTATCACCGTTTTTTTTACTTAGCCGAACTTTTACGACAAGCCACGTTTAGTGATTGTCTTTGTTGAATGCTCAAGTTAATCGCTTGCTGATCCCTGTGACTTTAGCCGAACAATTTCACCTTATTAAAAGTGCTTTTTGTTTTTTTCTAGTGATAGTCATATCAACTTATCGCATGATTAATACGGTGGGTCATGAACCCCAACTGGATTAATTTAGGTTTGGTTTGCACGCTTTTTTTAGTAACGAGTTCCATATCATTCCTCGGCTCTTAGAGTCAACGTTACTGTTGCGGAAACTATTGTAGACTACTGTAGCTATTATTTTGTGGTGTTGATATTGTTCATCAGCGAGTTTCTTACCAAAGTTATTCATATGATTTAATCGCACGCTAGCTTCTTCAAGGGTTTTAGAGTTTCTCAGGTGTCGGAAAAAATCGCAACAACACGAGAAAAACAGGAAGCGAGACCATGTGATGGATTTTGAGCAGTTTGTCGCTCTTCTATTAAGTCGTTGCAAAGCCAGAATTAAGGTTAAGTAATTTGCTTGCTCCAGGTGGATTTCACGCCTCGTTCACAAAGGCTATGATCACCATTCCACACAGCGAACTTTGTAATGAGGTCCATAATTACTTCACTTCATGGTTTAGCTATGAAAACTGGGTTATTTTTATTAATGTTCTACTGTTCATTTCTATCCATTCCATATTCCGACATACCCTGCTAAAAGTTGAGATGATGAGTCATGCTCTCCTCCCATATTGATCGGGTTTATGTGGTTACATGCCTCGTTGTGTTTTTAAGAGTTTCGCGCACAAAGATGGGTGGAAATTAAACTACTGACGGAAAGCTTCCGATGGTCGGGGGGAGGGGAGGTACTCCGGAATTAGATCGACAGGTACAATCGATGCTCATTCTCTCTTGTTGCCGGATATTTTGTAGCCTGCGAAAACATTCGTTTCTCCTCGCTCTTCGCCGCTGGGGGCGTTTCGAGCAGAAACGGATGTTTTCGCAGGCTAGATATTTTGAGGTTTAAAATTTTCCATTCCAGGAGTTTTCTTGGGTAGGAAATTTGGTAAGTTTTTTTGGTTCCTTTACTTATGTTGGAATGTATTTGAAGATTGTTGTAGCCACACTGCAACAACGCGCGTGTACATGCCAGCGGCGTAGCTCTAGAATACCAGATGAGGAAAAGATAAATTCATATGGCAAAATAAATAAACAACCACAAACATTCAATTTACTTCTTTCTTTTTTTTTTTTTTTTCGTGTTATATCATTAAATCCATTGAGAGAAATTTGTAAGGCTTGGATATTCGGCACGGGAGTGGTAGTTTTTGAGGGTTAATTTCTGATCCAGGGATTATTCGGTTTTTATATTTGCCCCCTTGCGATCATTATCGTTATATTTAAATTACGGAGCACCAACCCCCTCCTCCTCCATCCCCTCCCCCGCCCCCTTCCTAGCTGATGGTGAGCTTTGATTTTGTGGTGTGGTTATTTAATTGTCTTTCAGCCTTTTACGTCATTTCGTGGTAGAAACGCCAAGAAAGTGTTCCTTTTTCCCCTAAGTCATGATGACTTGTTCAAGCTTGTTTTCCCAGATTTCGCATGTGCCTACGTAGCTAGTTGCAAGTACTGATATGTTCGTCATAATGTCTGGTTTTTGATTATCACCCGCATATATTTGCTCTAGTTGTTTTAATGATACCCTCATTCAGACAACAGTCAGAAAGAGATATTTCCTTCTCGCCCCCAACTTTTGAATTGCGTGCACAAAAAATGTGTTCAATTACAATAAGAACGGTGCAGATTATCCCATTCCTCATCATTTAACCCAGAAGTTTGTCCCCCCAACTATACGACCAGCAAAATGTTCCAGAATCCCCAGAACCACGAGGCCCAACCTTATTTGTTATTCTCAGGCTTTTTACTGAAATCGGCCCGTCTTTCGGGTTCCAAATATCCTTCTGTTTTCTGGTTTCCTGTCAGTTAAGTTGCGTTATTCTCTAAAACAGCGTA